CATCTCGTTGGCTTTACAAGCAATGGGTAAGACCAGTTCTAACCTAGCTGTTCCTTCACGGGTTGATAACTCCCTAGCTTGCAATAATAGAACGTAAATTCTGTCTCATTTAGGCAACAAAGCAGTCTGTAGTAGCTGGTTCTTGCCGTGAAAGGGTTGTATGAGTGTGACTGTTTCTTTGTTAGCCCTAACTTGGACAATAACCCACGACAAACAGTCTGAACAAACTGAATAACAACTCGTGACGATCAGGTTAGAACTGATCTTCACTAACTCATGCTTGTCGTAAGAGGAGACTAACGGGGTCGGGCTCGCTGACTTGGTTGACACGTATCCCAATTGCGTAGATCGATGTTCATGCTGTTAATCACTGGATTGTCTTGTCCAGGTCCGATTGATTACACACCGCCGCCATATAGCTGGAATATTGGTGGAATATTGCAGCGTAAAACTAAACCCACTCACTCACTGTACCAGATAAACCAATGACTGATAATATGAATATCCCCTATACGAGGTATGACGTCACACAATCAGGTGAGCTGACAAACAATGAATGATATTATGAACATCACCCATCCCTGGAGGTATGACCACGCACAATCGACCTAGGTGATCAGTTCCACCATTACGTTGCCAGATTGCTGGGTAAATTACTCATCATGGAATCTGGCAATACACTGACACAAACTGTCCTGACTTAATGTTTCTGTTCACTTGTTTCAAGCCATTCAGCATATCAATGACACAAAATCAAACATGTTCATTCCCTGTTTATTATAAAACTGCACATAAACAAATGCATGGTAACGCACTAATTAAGGTTCTGTTTACATATTATTTCATCACACAGCGTTCTAACATCTCTCTATAACTATATAAGACGGTCTTAACCTGCCCCACAAACGTCTTCAGGCAGCAATTCTGCAAACTATTTATGGCCTCAGCTAACAAACATATCCTCAGCAGCCAATACTAAAACACCCCTACCCAGACTTTTTGACAGTGACAATCCCACCTTTAAATGAAGGTTCAGGTTCACACACTGCACTCAGACAAGGCTAACTGCTTTCATTCACAATCATTCACTCTGCATGACTGCCTCCAATAGGGGTTCCCGAAACTGATATTCAAACTTGAAAATATCGGATGCTGAAGTGACATATGCGATTTCACACTATTTAAATGCAAGAAGACATCCTTCTGCCTTATTGACTTAGTACAAAAACATGTCCCTTTAAGATTACATAACCAAGTCATCGTCCTCCTCCTCATCATCATTTGTTTTCAAGGTCAAATGACCCATTATTCATACAAATATGTACAGAAAGGCATGAATAAATCTGAATCATATAAGTGTACAAAATGTTAGAAAGGTTTTTGTAATGCTGAAAATGATGCTAAATATTCTGTAATGTATCAGAAGATGAGAAATGACATACATCCAGATACTTTTAAACAGTTACTGAATTCCAATGATACAAATACTTTGTTTATATTAGGAAAATACTTATATAATGTCTTTAAGATCCATCTACAACAATTGTAAGGCACATGTTCACATTTTTCTGTATATATTTATATGAACAATTGGTCATTTGGCCTTGAAAACAATAAAGATGATGATGATGATGATGATAACCAGGTCTCCCCTTGCTATACAAAACATGTCAGTTGATACCTCAACCGAAGTAAATCTGACTGAACTGACAGTTAAACAGTTAATGGATAAGGCACTAAACAATATCACGATATACTATCTTCAGTTATTTTCTTTAAAAAGTATATTTTGATATCAAGTAACAGTGAAATTTTGACATATAAACCATCAATTTCTAGTGAAAAATAACAATTTCAAGGTCAACAATACATATCACAATACGAAAAAAAATATCGACATATTTATGGTAAGATAAAGTATCACGATTATTGATACTATGAAATATTGTCACAGCTCTACCATTGCCGCAAACCTGCACTAACCCCTGGCCCCATCCCCAGGATTCTTGCTATCACAAAGAATTGCCCTTGATTTTTCATTAACATTTTACAGATGATCAAACATGGACCCAATGAAAAGGGTAAGGGAGGTGACTACTATTATCTCAAGACCAAACTGGATCAGTCATGATACAGGCCACTATGCTGTTGATACTGTTGATACTGCTGTAACTGGCATTCTGATTGGTAGGTTAGATACTGCTGTAACTGGCATTCTGATTGGTAGGTTAGATACTGCTGTAACTGGCATTCTGATTGGTAGGTTAGATACTGCTGTAACTGGCATTCTGATTGGTAGGTTAGATACTGCTGTAACTGGCATTCTGATTGGTAGGTTAGATACTGCTGTAACTGGCATTCTGATTGGTAGGTTAGACCTAGCAGTGTTGCCAGTCTATCAGCTTATAGAAATCTATAATAGATCATTTGTGATCGTACGAATCATGTGAATGGATGCAGGGGTTAGTGAAGGTTTACCGCAATGCGAGTCCTGAAGGATGGCAGTAAATGGTTCAGCCAATCAAATGGCTGACATCATGAGCAACAATCACACTATTTCGACACATCAAAACTTCCTATATCAGTCTGCTCTTCAGGAAGAATGAGAAACTGGGGACAGTCTGTCAGGTGGAGAAAGTCAGAGCTTTACAATGACATAGCTGTGACAATGGTTTGACCTCCTTTAAAGCCCTAGAAGCTATTTTTCAAACTGTTTTATTGCAAAAATATTTTTTGGGCAAAATAATCCATTGATAGGAATCAATGTCACCAGCAGACATCAACCTCTGTCAGAATCTAAGTTCTGAAACAAGTATACATTCACAACCGTAACAACACAGATCCCCAGGGGAATGTTGTGATATATATACAATTCAGGAGGTATCACAATAAAGCTGGAGATCCCTTACACAACAGGAATCCTAGTTCTGACTAGTCTGGAAGTGTTGCTATGGAGACAGACACTATATAATCTGTTGCTACACGGAGCAAGGATATGAGTTTTCACTGGTTTGCATCTTCTGCAGTCACGGAAGATCCAAACCACTCAAAAACTTAAAGAGATCCGATTGCCCTGATAACTCAGTGTTAATGCCAGGTTATTTGCAAAATTGTCATCATTTATAAAAGAACAGAAAAAGATACATCCACATGAAAACTCATGCAAGTATTTTTTCAGTGATGCTTTCCTATTGCCGTACAATATAAAGAATGAAGCAATGACAGTACATCACATTATTATACAGGCTGAATCAGATACAACAGACTGGCATGGAGTCTGAAAATATATATACTTTCCTGTGGCCATATATTTACAGAAATGAAAGGAAAGTTTTCAGAATTATGCATGAACTTTCAGCAATTCTATTATGACACAATATAATGATTATTAGCATTGCATGCATGTATCATCATGATTATACTTACAGTTCTGGAGGTGGTACAATAATCTGTATATTCACAGGTCCACTGTCTCACAGATACTTGGTATGTCAGTATATGAGTAACAAAAGGGCAGTAATTCACTTTCTCTGTGAAGGATCTCCAAATCTACATATGAAACAGCTGACTCAGATTGTGTCTCTTTACACCTGCTGACACAACACTGTATCTAGCAATGACAACAAAATTGCCAAAATAGACATGTAAGGATTTCGTCAAGCAACACTTGTCGGTGGGTTCACAAAGCATGTAATCTAGATTACCAGTTGTACAACTATGATATTTTAGTGGAAGCAGCAGTGGGTTAGATTGCTGACTTTGTGTGCTGGCGATTAGGTGCCTGAATCTGAGAGTGGGACTCAACCAACAAAAGTACTAGAATCTGTACTTTACTGAGAAAGTGTAATCCCAAATAAAACATGCGTTACAAGCACGTTTGGGACTGAACGCCATACTCTTTCTTCAGCCATAATACAATGGAGGGTAGGTATACTGAGCATCATATTTAACACTGCCAAGAATAAAGACAACATTCTTCACTGAGCAAACCAATTTTGCATACATACTGACCATTAACTCTGAAAACAAGTTCCTTGGTTTGATTCAGTTAAGAAGCATAACACGAACATCAGAACCTTTGGTAGACAAGATGTTGTATTACAAACCCATGTGACATTTCGAGATTTACCTTCACCATGCACACACACACATCAAGAACGTTTCAGCAACTCCTGCTTGGCTGTCCGTATTATTCCTGTGTTACCCATCTCCCATTCGCCCCGAGTATTTATTCAACATGAAATAACAGGATGTTTTGTTGTCTCTATTTTCCCTGCCATGTTATAATCTATGTCCTCATGTTATACAAAAAATACTTTAACTCCCCTGAAACACTCCTACAAAACAGGTCAGCATTGTCTCCCCTTATCTATATTTATTAAAGGTCACATACAACGCAAAAACACAACTTTGCAGATTCTGATACCTTTCGGTATGGACTTACCGAAACAAATCGTCAAAAATGCAAATTCAACTTATAAAGTTGAAAAACAACGCAATGAAAAAATCGCGAAATCGGAGTTCAAACGATTCACTAATTTTCCCCACGAGCTTGGGGGAAAAAGTGGTTTCAACAGCTGGGCTTGGCTCATAGCACATGCGCAGTGAAATAGGTTCGTGCAGCTTCGAAGCGGGTTGTCCGGTGAATACTCGGTGAAGGCTTTGGTGTGAGCTATTTTTCTAATGTTTTGTTCATATTTCACAGGCGCGAGCTTTTTATATGTTATGACAGTAGATTACCGATTTAACTGTTTATATGATTTCATTTGTCTATTTCACCACACGTTCTTCTTACTTGAGTGCACACCCTACCGCTCTGACTGGGTTCGGTATCCCGGCTGCTTCGTTTCTTGGGAAGTAAACCCAAGTACAAAATATTGCCTTTTTGATTTGCGATTGTACGCTTATAATTTTGTTTATATGTTTTTTCATAATCAGCAATATATATTATATGTCATGAATAAGTGATAATTGTGTTTTAATTATGTTTGATTTTTTGGTTGCATGTGACCTTTAAACATTGTTTCTAAAGCAGAGTGACTCAATCTACATCATAAAATATTACCAAGTAACTTTAATATGAGATAAAATAAGACACACAATCTGATAAAAAATATTTTTTCACTTCTATTTCTCTTCTGCTGTTTTGCTGGGAGACTGGAGATGAGAAAGACACAAAACATATGGACAGCAGCAAAACGGTTTACAAAATATGGACACAAACAGTTACAGAAGGTGGGGATCAAGGACAAAATTTTGACGTTTTCTAGCATCTTTTTCCACGCTCATGTCATGATGGTACACACTGATGTAGATACACCAGTGTGACTCAATCTGCAGCCATACATACAGTCAGGTCACACACATCACATACAAGGTCACACACCAAGTCATACACCAGGTTACAACTTGGCTTGAGGAGGTCCCAGTAAAGTCTGCAGGTCGTCCAGGCTCTCCTTCAGTGCTGTTTCATAGCGTTTGGAGTCGGTCTCCGGACTGTTGAAATATGACGACACAGAGAAGTTGATCTTTGTGTTCTGAGGGTTGTAGCAGATGCCGTAGCCGTCAGGGACGACGGCACCGAACGCCATCACCGCATCATGCTTGGCAGCAACCTGATCAACAAAGAACACACAGTTATACTGGGTGTAAAATACCCACCTGTGTTCAGATTTGTATGTATGTATGTTTGTTTACTGTTTAACTCAGCAATATTTCAGTTATAGGACGGTGGTCTGTAAATAATCGAGTCTGGACCAGACAATCCAGTGAATGACATCATCAGCATCCTGTCAGTTGCTGTTTACAACAAGCATGGGTTGCTGAAGACCAATTCTAACCCGGATCTTCACGGGTCTCAGACATGTATGAATAAGACTTGAATAAATACACGAGTTAGAGTGACAAAGAAATGTTTGTTGTGATCGTAAAGTTTACCCTTTCGTTACTTTTGTTCATCAGCCCAGTAAATTCTGGACTGCAACATTTCATCTGGTCTGGTAACATGCACATGATGACAGTCACAACACACAATAAACAAGGATAGCATCGTATCTGGCTGATCTTATAGAGGAGTTTCTACCAGCATAGAGAGCTAGGTACTTTACAGGGATTATGACAGTAAACTATATCGTAGTTGAAATGCGTATACTTAACAAAAGCTTACTGTACATAGGGTGAGTGTGTGGGTATGATTTTATACAACTTTTTGCTCTATCCTATTAATGCCCTGGTTGGGGACACCAAAAGTGGGCTTCACACATTACCGGTATACCCAGGTGAATACCTGAACCCATGTCTTCAGCAAGACAAGCAAACACCTGAACCACCCAATCACCCCTAACTGAACAGCATCACGGTGGAAGACGGACAAGACTGTACCTGGCTAGTGGATATCTTGAAGTACAGGCTGGTGGCGAAGGAGCCATCCATGTGGAGATCGGGGATGTTCATGCCAGCCTCCACTGCTGCTAGCTTCCACCCCAGAAGGTGACGGTCGATTCCACTGCCGTTAATAGCCTGAAAAATACACAGTAGAGTAGTCAATTCTCCCACAGTAGAGTTCCGGGCTTGGCAACCATGGTTATGCAGTTCTCATCAATATTGGTTTCCATGTCTAAATTGTTTTAGTACCACTACAAATCTGCAAGCATGCAACCGATTTTTTAACGGCATCTCTTCTACATCAGAACAATAAGTGCACAGATATTCGGAAATTTGTTCCACAAAGTGCCCAGCAACCTTTTCATTTCATCAGAACTGTAACTGAAAAGTAACTCAATTTCTTGTAACAGAAAGCTATCTATATCATCGGGCATGAAATGAAGAGGAAGACTTTCTCCTGAAACAGAAGAGAATGATTTAAAGCAGACCTCATCCGTGTACTTTCTGTGAGCCATGACAGCCTTCTTGAAGAGGTCGACCTTCACCTCCCGTGATATGGAGCTGTCCAGCATGGCCTTGGTGAAATTGAAGGAGTCAACCGAACAAGATCTGATGGTATCGGTGCGTCCCAGCTTGAACCGGCGCAGTGATGCCGTCTCGTACGTGGCACATGGCTTGCCATACAATCTGTTGTGGGTAAATATGTTACAATATTACCTGATCTCTCAAGTATCTTACCGTCATGACAGTAACTGTAAAGTTTCACAGATCATCTGCATCTGACGACTACAATCATTTACGGACATGAATCAAGACTCTGAGTTGTATTTATTGATGAAGACAGCTACATATAACCACAACAAAACAACCCATTTAACACCCCAAATTAACTATTGAAAGTGAACTGTATCAACATGTAGAATTGCTTGTGTAATGACTCCCATGTTGGGAGTTACGTCCTTTTGTTCAAACAAACAGCATAAGGAAGACATTCACTTGACAGACGTTGCACCAAGTTAAGGGGGAAGTGGCAAGAAATCCAGGGCCTAACAGGAACTTTATAACAATAGGAGACGACCTTCTGATGATGTAGATTGCCGCACAAGTCAGCGGATTGTATTTCCAGAGGCTGTACACAACAGTGAGCCGCTTAGTTGGGTTTTTGGGTACAAGGTGCATTAAAATTTGTTATCTATTTGACAACTTAGATTGTGGCATTATTATAGATGGATTGTGCACAACGTTATAACATGTCTCTATTTGTCATTTAATAATAACATGTCACTATTTGATGCTATTCCTTTAAAGCATTTCTGTAACACTCTGCTTGACTGACAACCTAATCAAGTGACATAATTGACATTTACTGGAAGTAAATGATAGTTAGCTTGGCAATTTTAATGTAGGCAAGGTCCCTGGTTACTGTGAATATTGTGATATGAACTTGGAGCCTCCCCTCCTCCTCACGTACTTGAAGTAGGCCAGCTGCATGGCTATCTGGATGTAACCATCAGGACTGAGTCGCTGGGACTTGGGGAAGTTCTTGCCGTACCCCTCGTACGTCAACCCTCGCATGTCCACGTCGTTCGCCATGCTGGAACACAACACAGACATAAACAGATTGTTGTAAGTTTACAGTGTTTGTACGTGACAGCAGTTGATGTTCTGGCATATGTCAACGTATGGGTAGTTGCATACTAATCTCGTACGTCACATGAGTGTCATATCGCGTTGACCTGTGTCGTAACGACTTGACCTGAGATTCTAACGATTTGATTGGATAACCAATGACCTCTCAATTAGGTCACATTCTGACGTAACTATTTTTTCATTCATAACAAACATGTGGATTCATTCATTCTACAACTTAAATGCATTGTGGGAATGTAAACATTGCGAACGTTGCCGTGTCGCTGTTTAATTGTGAGTCGAACTGAGACATTATATCCGTCGAAAAACATAAACGCAATGTTTCCACCAGTGATGTTATTTATCCTGAGACAACATCCCTCGACTTGACATCAAACTGAGGGAAACAAGGAGCGGCATGCTCTGGGATCTGTGTTGTGTTCTTGAAGAGAAGAAGGTGACTGAGTTGTGTCGTGTCAGGATAATAAATAATTGCACATCTAAATATAATTTATAAGAGGCCCAGATAAGCTGCGTATCTGGGTAAAATACGCCATAGAAAATTTCCAATTACGCATTGAAAAAATAATTGCTGCGTACCAATTACGCATTTAAAATGTTACATACACAAAAAGTTTAAAACAAATGCGTACAGAATATATTTATAAAAATCGCTTGCGTAATGAAAAAGACATCGATTGCTATCAAGTTGTACTGTTAGTATAGGACTAGTGTTGTACTGTCAGTATAGGATGAGTGATTTTTTATGAAATTATTTCCATTATATTAAAGTTGGTTTTGATTAGGTATGACATAAGGCAGAACATACCTGCTTAGTAAACTTACTCAATGACATATACGTAGGTGAGTAAAATGACTGAAATACGCACATATTTGAAAGCAGTGGGTAATGGAAAATGAAATACCCACTCAACATTCATAATACCCACTCCAAAAAGAATACAGTGGGTACAGTACCCACATGAGCTAAATCTTATCTGGAGCTCTGTGTTGATTGATTATATATGTAACTTCAACATACAACCCAGGACAATCAAGATAGGAATGGGTCTGCTGCAACTCATGCTTTTGTAAGAGGCAACAAACAGCATCAGGTTGTCCTAATGCACATTACTGTATCCCAACTGGGTAGTTAGAACTGTCCATGATTATTTGCTGCCTGCCATCATCTATATGGAGTACTGCGGTGTGCAGAACAACCTGTGTTACCTGTCTGCGTGTACTTTAGCCTCCTCGATGTCCTTCAGCAGCTCCTGCGAGTAGTTGAGCGGCAACTTCCGCACGTCCGTCATGCCACCTGCCTTCAGTCCCATCTCCTCATTCTTCTCACTGCCACCAATACAACAATCAGATCCAAGTGTTACAGCTCATATAAACACAGCAGGTGTTGTCAACACCCTAGATGGTTACAAGACGATGTTTATCGGATATAAAATATATACTAATATAATGGTTCAGATATCCAGGATGTGATGATGATGTTAGTTTTGCAATTTATCATCCAGTATCAAAGGTAGGGATCATGTTATCACAGTTTTAACTTAATCCTGTTACTACACTTACTGGCTTCAAAAACATTCATTGTGTATCTGCATTGATATTTGTTATTTATTTCATCAACTTTATTAAGATACAATGTATTCAGCTCATTGCATCAACATTCCACAAAGCTGTATTCATGGGTACTTTTTAACTGAATCACTGGTAGACTGAGAGAAATCTAAAACACATGTCATGGTTGACACATGTCATGGTATTCCAATCCTGTCCACTGACTTGTCAATTACTGGACATTGTAAGGTGTCCATGCAGCTTTCATGACATTTAATTCTGAACCAATGTCCATGTCTTCAACACCCTGCCTTCAATTTTCCATTACAAAATTTCAAAGACCTGAGATGAGCCACTGACTGACCAGAATGTGAGAACGTGGTCCATGATGGCCGCGATCGGAGGCCCCTCCGCTGTGGTGTGCTCATAGTTCAGGCCGCACACTCCGTTCTCACCAACAACAAACTGTCAGGGAAACAGAAATAGATTACAACATGGTTCCACACAACATCAAACATCTCATCAGAGGGAACGAGAACATCCTGAAGATGTCACTTCCTGGCAGCTCAGATTACTGTGGTTTTTAATTATACAAAGTTTACATATGACACAGTCAGGCTCAATTTCATCCTGGTGACTTACGAACATAGGTTCTCTTTAGATTCTGGAATTCCATAATCATATGAAACACAAACTCGGGAACTAACCTGCAATGTCTTGTCAAACCAGCGGTTGCCCGAGTTATACGCACTGCCTCCGCCGTGCAGCATCTGAGTGATGGCGAGGGAGTTGGCGTGGTCCTCATCAGTGGGCTGCGGCCCGGTACTGTCAAGGCACATCACAAAGATGCTTCTCTGCAGGCTCTCCATGGCAGTCTTGTTGGCCTTGTCTGAAAACATCACCAGCATCCCACATGTCAATGTATGCACTGTATTAATGTTCTATAAAAGATTCTGAGAGAGTTTGGTACCAGTCAGGATGCTCACAATAAGAAATATGTGGAAAGGACAGCTTCACACTGACAGGGGAGCGAGCAGATGAATCCTGTGTAATGACAATATTAGTGACCTTCAAATAGCCAGATATACCTGTGATACACAGCAAGAGGACCAATCCAGGCCAGGTAATCACACATGTCACCAAGTCTGACAACTAAACCCTCAGGGGGAGAATATTAAATTGAGTCCAACTGGTGCTGTCATTAGACGAGTTTGCGACAACAGCAGATTGACCTGTGATGGCAGCCTGCAAACAGTCAAATCTGGATCTGACAAACCAATGATTGATATAATTAGAAAAGTGCTTAGCCATCAGATTCCAAGGAAACAAAATCAACCATGTTACGAGGTGTGAACATTGGCCAAGACTTGGATGTGAGTGTAGGAACACGGCCAGTATGTGGCTATACAGTTAACATCGGCCTAACACTCCCAAGAAGAACATATGATGAATGTGAATCATTCATCTGTGTTAAATGTTTGTTGGTCTTTATGTATGAAGTTACTGTTTTGAAAACTGCAATGTAACTACAGATGAATGTGCTGGATAGGTTATTAGAGTGAAATATTTAGACCCCAAACCCTCACAAAGAAGCAGTTTTCTGCAGCTTTTTGACCTGACAAGGTGTTTGTGGTTGTTGTTGGCAATCTGGTCAAGTGCTAGCAATCAAACAGTCAAACATCGTCGCAGCTTACAACATACCATCGAGTCAACACAGATATGGCTTTGAGTCAACACAGATATCTATTTCAGATTGGCTGATGGGGACATACTCTACCCCCTCACACAAGGAGCTATGAAGTGTACTGAGGTGACCTCACCCTTGACCAGGTGCTTGTAGGTCTTGGCCCAGCTGGTCCGGTCCCCCATAGTCAGGACGCCGATGGAGGGTGCGGCATTGGGGGACATCTCCACGATCTTCTTCAGCTGCTCGTAGATCTGCTCCACATTGAGAGGGCGGTTGTCGTTGCCGTACACATCCACAGAGAACAGCTGTAGACAGGTACACATTCATCATAACACTGCACTAACAAGGTATGTCAGACTGAAATATGTCAGACTGAAAAAAATATAAAAAATAAAATAAAAAGTCTTGAATGAAGCTTAAGTCAAGTAAATTCATCTATTTCCAAAATGACCCACATAACTGAGGGCTGCTGGGCCATAGGCTCACTTTTTAGAGAGGCAGGAATGAACACTGGGTCTAGTCCATGAGGTCACACAACAATCACCTGCCAGTACCATTACTGTGTCTTGTTGAGGTGTTTCAGTGTAACAATCACAATGTTTAACTGCCATGTTAGTGATCTGCTGTGATAAATAGGAAAGTGAGTGAGTGAGTTTAGTTTTACACCGCTTTTAGCACTATTCCAACAATATCATGGCGGGGACACCAGAAATGGGTTTCACACATTGTACCCATGTGGGGAATCGAACCGGGTCTTCAGTGGTTGGTTATTTGTTGTTAAGAGCTGTACTCAACAATATTCAGCTATACATTGAGAGCGATCTGTAGATAATCACAAGTCTGAACCAGACAATCCAGTGATTGATATCATGAACATTGGGATACAATGACATGCAAGTCAAGTCAACGACCCTGACCATCTGATCCTGAAGATCAAGTCCTGCCTTCGTCAAACCCAAGATATTATTATCATGATTGCAGTCATAAACATATTTAATGTTCTGATGTTGTTTAATTTAAAACAAATTCTGTTCAGTTTAAATAACACTGTCAGTAGCATCTTCCTACCTGATTCTTGTGCATGACGGTAATATGCCGTGGGGGGTTGGGATCAGTGGACGGGTAAAGGACGTGGGAGTCCCTCTTTACCCCCGGGATGCGGCAGCCGCCCAGGATGGTGTAGTACTGGATCATACACAGAGGTTTGCCACCCAACAGCTCCACCGGCAGGGTCTGCCTGTAAAACACAGTCATATTCAGTGTGCGAAAATAGCCACCGGCCTGCTAGCCTGTGGCTAGTAAAAATCCAGTCGGACCAGTAAATCTCCACATTCACTGACCTGACTGGCTGGTGAATTTTCATGGGGTCATTTTGTAAATATATCACTCTCTCTAACTCTCTGTTATAATACATAATAAATATGTTCATCATATTAACAGGTTAATGAATGAAGAAACCCGTGTCTACATTCAAATTTCGGGCTAGTGAATTATTTTGTGGGCCAGCAACTTTCAGGCAAAGCAAAATTTTGAAACTATTTCGCACGCTGGTCATATTTCACAAAGACCTGAAACGCTGCTGCAACTGTCGATAAATCACAGACACATTTCACACTACCTTTCACACAGACCTGGAACAAATAGGTTCACTTCAACATCTTGGTCAATTGTTCTCCTTTGGTGGTTGTCTCTCAGTACCTCTAGTGATTAGGGTGTAAGATATGTCAGACGTAAGTTTACTTACTCATCAATCGTAATTTTGTAATCAATGACCCCAGCAATCACCTTGGCAGCAAATCTGGAAAAGAAAGATTTTCATCTCGTACATCATCCTACTGAAATATGAGTAAAGACAGCAAACACTGTTGACAGACAACATCAGTCAGCAACTGAAGTGGTCTTGAAGCTACAACACAGAAAAGGCCACGGAATCTGCACAACAGAGAGGAATAAACCCAAACTGTGTAGCTGTGTCAGATCCCCCCCGCGGGGCTCCTGTGTTACAGTGAAACTCTGCATGATGGTCGTATGAGGTGATCTAGAGTATCAGGTTGGTGAGATGGCTGATACCTGTCACCTGATAACGTCTGAGTTTATTCATAACATCAATCACTGACCTGTCTGATTCCAGACCCGTGAAGATCAGGGTTAGAATTGATCTTCTGTAACCCATGCTTGTCATAAGATGCGCTTAACAGGATTGTCTGGTCCAGACTCGATTATTTACAGATTGCCGCCATATAGCTGAGATACTGCTGAGTGCTGCGGAAAACTAAACTCACTCATTGTCTGATTCAAATTGAATTTTTCGGTGCTTAAACACAGCAAACACATTCCTAATCCCTGATGCTCTGGTGAATTGACAGATTCTGTAATATAAACAGGCTAACCAATTAAATAAACCCCGATAGATTGTGCAGTTCTCTGCTGTATAGAGAGGAGAGAAACAATGCATATTCATCTGCGACTAATACAAAGTCACTGACCTCAGCTGACCCTTCTTATCGTTGTAGTCCTGTCGAGGGAAGATGACCGCCGGGTTGGAGGCGATGACAACAGGGGTGCGGATACTGAGGTACGCCACATCCTTCCACCAGTCAGACAACTAGGGCAGACCAGTACAACAGCTTCAGTGAACAACAGGTTAATATGGGTCTTTACCCTTTAGTTAGTGAGTCAGTCAGTTTTATGCCATCTTTATCATGGTGAGGAACACCAGAAATGGGTTTCACACGTACCCATGTGGGGATTCGAACCCGGGCCTTCAATGAAGGCATTAACCACTAGGCTACCCCAAAGCCCTTTTGCTTTACTCCCACTGTGCCCACTTTTGGAAATGGGCAGTGTTAAAACAACAGAGGGATTATGGTATAGTCTGTATCAGGCTAGTGGGCACTGGTATATAGTATAGTCTACTTAACTCTTAAGTCATCAACTACATACTTAACTTATAAACCTTGATCAGAGCTCCAGATAAGATCTAGTTCATGTGGGTACTGTACCCACTGTATTTTTTGGAGTGGGTATTATGAATGTTGAGTGGGTATTTCATTTTCCGTTACCCACTGCTTTCAAATATGTGCGTATTTCGGTCATTTTACTCACCTAAGTATTATGTCATTGAGTAAGTTTACTAAGCAGGTATGTTCTGCCTTATGTCATACTTAATCAAAACCAACTTAAATATAATGGAAATGATTTCATAAAAAAATCACTCATCCTATACTGACAGTACAACACTAGTCCTATACTATCAGTACAACTTGATAGCAATCGATGTCTTTTTCATTACGCAAGCGATTTTTATAAATATATTCTGTACGCATTTGTTTTAAACTTCTTGTGTATGTAACATTTTAAATGCGTAATTGGTACGCAACAATTATTTTTCAATGCGTAATTGGAAATTTTCCATGCATATTTTACCCGGATATGCAACTTATCTGGGCCTCTGCTTGATGATTCCAGATGTCCCAATGTACATTACCCTCTGCCAGAATTCAGTGACATAGTCTGAGACTGGGATACATTTTGGTTGTCTAAAAAGGCAGCTTCTAAGACTTCCCACCTGATATGAGTCAAAAACTTGTCAACAGAAAGTCGGTTTGGATCGACCTCGTGGTTATGAATGTTGTTGTACTCGGTCTTTGACTTTATTATTCTTCTGGTCCTAACCCTAAACTTATAGTTGACATAAATCAAATTGTGTCCACCCTGTTCATTATCAATGTACTTGACCTCAACTTGAGTATTAGCCATGATGTTGAATGATGAAGTGGGGGTTAGTTTTATCATATACATATATGACTGTGACATTTGTCAGTGCTCACCAATTTGTTCAGACTTGTGGTCACGGTGTCACCAGATTTACCTTGTAACAGACTATAACTAATTCCCGTATTGTTCTACAGGTGACTGCATTTTGTTGTTTTAAGAAAAGTGGGCACAGTGGGCGTACATCGCCCCTTTACCCTTTACCGCATGACAGTTAAGGATATATCCTTGAGATATCCTGCAAGATGAGTTGACAAACAGCCTTCAAGATAGATGGCTGGATTGCAAATTACCAACATATCAAATACACAGGCAAATAATACAATCATTTCTTTGGATTAATTGTTACCATACCATGACCCTTTAATCTCTAAAACTTTCTGGGGCGGTGGGGTAGCCTAGTGGTTACAGCATTGGCTCGTCACGCCGAAGACCGGGTTCAATCCCCACATGGGTACAATGTGTGAAGCCCATTTCTGGTGTTCCCCGCCGTGATGTTGCTGGAATATTGCTAAAAGCGGTGTAAATCCAAACTCAGTCAGTCAGTCAAACACTTTCCTTAAAAATTGTTAATATTCTGTTTACTGTATTGGGTATAATGTTCCTCCTAACCAGGAATGTGTCATTTCATCATTGTTCATGTGACCACAAATGGATTTCATCCAAGTCCTGCACTGTCATTGGCTAATAAAACACACTCAGACCGTATCATCACGAACAGGCTCCTGTTGGTTTACCACCAAAATCTGAATGTAGACATCTTTCAACATTGGCAGCAGGGTATCATACCATTCATCGATTCTACGAACCAGAAGTATGGTACTTATTCAGGCGTGTAGCAAGCCAAATATTTTGTGTAAGCCCGATAGGTTGCAAAGATTTATATTTAGATTGTATTCAGGACTTGTCCAACCTTATTAGCAACAATCATGTGTAAGCCCGGGCTTTTTTTTGTAATGGTAGCTACGCCCCTGTTATTGGTTTGAAAAAATATGTCTGGTACTCCTCTGATAATGACCAGTCGTGTACTTATCACTGGTCAACCAGCTGAGAGAATTATCTGGAGCACAGTAAAATGAAATAGAGAATTGTTCCATCCTTACCCAGTTTACTTTTTCAGTTGCCCTTTTTTCCAGCAGAGCTTGCAGCTCAGGGCCAGGTGACTTCTTGAAGGCTTCAACAAGCTGGAAACCAGTAACACTAGCAATGTATACTGTAACATGGGATGTTCTGACGGCATGGTCCATGCCAGCACAGGGGCGTGTCATGCTTAGAAACAGCGTTAGAAAGACATATAGGTATATAGACCCTACCCTAGTACTATATAAAAGGAAAGGGATGTAACGATGGAACAAGCCCCTCCTCAATCTAAGTTAGATTTCACCACGTAAACTATTTTTAAGGCCCCCGTCGAGGGCCTACGGATCGAAAGCCAGATGATTTCCCTACAAAATGAGCTAAAAATGGTCACAATCAGATTATTATTTCAAAAGTTATACGTCACGACTCACCGAAAACAACTACCTTCGCAATTCCAAGCCAAAATCATGGATCACCCAAGACAGCGAAAACTCACCTTATAAATTCGTTTATTAATTCCAGCCACGTTGACAGCACCTATGTAGGGCTAGATTCAATCGGCAGCTGCATTCCACGGGTCTAAAGCTTATTGCAACATCTACAAATCATTTCCTCGACAGTAAGCAGGCATTTTCTCCAAAACCATGGGTAATCATACTCACATGTCGGCCATAGATGGCCTTGACATTTAAGTGACCTGAGCAGTAACTTGGTAAGAATAATTTTCAAGGTTAAATATTTATAAATATAATTTCCTAAAAATGAATCAATATCGAATGCATTTTTACAACCTCTAAAATTATTCTTAACAATTTACTGTTCCGTACATCAACCAAAATAGAAGGAATATTGCAAAGTTCATATTTCACGCCCATTAGCAAACAGTCAAAATCTTACAGTATATTATATTTTCCACCAATCGGATGGCCCAATTCAGTTTCTGCGGATCTGCTCAGATCACTTGAATGTCAAGGCCATCTATGGCCGACAAGTGAGTATGATTACCGGTGGTTTTGGAGAAAATGCCTGCTTACTGTCGAGGAAATGATTTGTAGATGTTGCAATAAGTTTTAGACCCGTGGAATGCCGCTGCCGATTGAATCTAGCCCTACATAGGTGCTGTCAAAGTGGCTGGAATTAATAAACGAATTTATAAGGTGAGTTTTCGCTGTCTTGGGTGGTCCATGATTTTGGCTTGAATTGCGAAGGTAGCTGTTTTCGGTGAGTCGTGGCGTATAACTTTTGAAATAATGATCCTATTGTGACCATTTATAGCTCATTTTGTAGGGAAATCATCTGGCTTTCGATCCGTAGGCCTCGACGGGGGCCTTAAAATAGTTTATGTGGTGAAATCTAACTTTGATTGAGGAGGGGGTGGTTCCATCGTTACATCCCTTTCCTTTTAAAGAGTACTAGGGTAGGGTCTATATACATATGTCTTTCTAATGTTGTTTCTAAACGTGACACGCCCCTGTGAGTGCCAGTCTATACCATACAGGGCTCAATACACAGGATAAACAATAAACAGGATAAAAAAAAAAAGCACAAACAACAAACAGGATTACACGCAGAGCAAAACGGAAACAATTCCTGGTGTTTGACAAAGTTATTCATGACAGGATTTGTATTTTGACATAAAGATATATCAAGGTTATATTTATAGACGTATATCTAAACCAAAAACATGTACAATACCGAGGAACTATTCTGCCCTGTACATTCCACAGCTTACTGACGGGGTTAACCTCTTTGGTCACAAGGTCTGTGGTTTGAATCCCATTACGGGACTCCCATTAACAACATAATAACTCACAATCCAAGAAACTAGAACTACCCACAAAATGTAACTAATCAATAAATTAAGTTACATTGCAGATGTTATCCAAGAACATCCTTAAGGCTATAGCCATGTTAGAAAACAGGCCAGATCTGAGGCCAAACCAACCTTTTCCGTATGGCGGTAGTCGTCAGCGTTGACTAACGGCTGTACAGTGCGCAGGTACTTCTGTAGCGTCTGATCTATCTGTGGGAGAGGAAGTCGGGGCAGGGAGTCCTGGACGGAAAACATCCGCCCAATGGCCTTGATCCTCGGTTCCGTCTGCATTCTGGACAGGATCAGACCAGCATTGTTACCCTGACAACAACACAGCAACATCACTATCCCATATCAGTGAGTGAGTGAGTGAGTTGTTCCAATGCCATTTTCAAGAGCATTTTAGTTATATCACATGATAGGCTCAGGAAAGGCTGAAGTCAGGTCTGAATCCATTAATTTTGTGAAGGCATGCTGCAAACAGATGCAAATTTAGGATTCAAACCTACCATCATCAGATCCTGACACAACTATGGGACACAACCCTGCAAGGCAAATTTTACTCCTGTGGCAAATCAGGTTTCCTAATTATACATGACACTCTTGCTCCATGTTCAGAGCCCAACCAATCTCATAACAATCAAGCCTTCTACCCCAAGTTATACCTCTCAATATGGACATATCACATACACTCTCTGTATTTGCATGGACACCATTAAACTGACTGATCTCAATTTAAATATTCCACCACTTGTATTTGGAAAGAAATTCACACAACTGTTTGTACAGACTTTTCGTTAAACCGCAATAAATATTACGTTTAGAGCATCAACTAGTATTTCTTTAAATCTCTAAATGAAACTGTTTGGCCGCTTTGAAGCTTGTACATATTCAGCATCTTTTTTTAACGTGCAAAAGGTTTCTGGGGAATGATATAAATTTCAACACCACAAAACCAAGAGGACAAGGTCATTGATACCCCCACCCACCCACAATGGTAATTCGTTGACTTGAAAATGTCATCTTGTTTTGGTGCTTACATGTCAAATATAATGCTATTTGAGGAATAATTTTCTGCCACAACGAAATAAAATATATAAACTTTATAAAACCTAATGAATCACCAGTTTTAACAATACTTACAATCTCCATTACCTATGTATTCAATTATTTTTGTAATATAGTTCGCTGCTCATACATCCTGTCGCTACGATATTCTGTACTATGTGTCACGATTACAATGAAACCTCATCACTTATACATTAGCTTTCACAGTTGTAATGCCTCATAACTTATACACAAAATAATTGTTTCACTTTCTATAAACCTCACTGATTCTTTATTAGGTTTCATTTTCTATAAAATCACTTCTCCTATACTATATATCTGAACTCCCAGCTCTCTATGAGGATTCTATATTAAAGTATGTTTTACAAATTTTCTTGTAAATATAACAATGACACGATGTATGACAATTGTGTAGGTAGAAACGTTGTTACTGTTGCTTTATTACTGGAATAATGCTGCTGCAACATCAACTTTAACTCACTCACTCTCAGCTAAGATCCACTTTTCACACTTTTCTTTGTAGGTGTTTTTTGATACAGCACAATATCAAGGAGCATTACATCAGTATGTATGAAAAATGACATTGCCTCAAGCCTTCAGTGCAGACTGAATCATCTGACAGCTGTGATTGGATGATTTACTGAAATATTTTTGTGTTTTTTAAATGTACATCCGTCCAGTAAATAAAACTGAGCATATTTTTCAACATTTAGTGCTGTCTTTTTTAACACAATGACTAATGTTGAATGTGTGCAGAGATATTTTCAGGTAGGTGACATTTGGTGCGGAACTGGGTTGGTGTGTTCAGCTTCCTGTACTCAAAAAAGGCTCGCATAATACAATTTTTATTCCTAATATATAATATTAATGATACGGAAACACACAAGGTTAATAATCTATATTTCTTGTTGTAAAACCTCATGCCAATCATACAGTACCGAAACTGACTTAAACTTTTGCTGTCAATTCCTTAAAATAAGATAAAATTTTCCCATAAATTTTGTTATAATATCAAATTCCATTGCATTTTAAATGGCAGTTGCCCTTTTCATTCTTTTATTTCATTAAAATATTTTTAAAAATTTCATTAAAATACTTTTCATCTCTATTTATGCTTTAATTTCGAGATTTTAAGTAATGAAAAACAGCTGCAATCCTTCTTTTATCAATCAATAATTGATTTTGAATGTGAATATGTCATTTATACCCCTATCACTTTTCATGCTTCAGGCATTTTATTCTATTGACATATTTTACAAATTCTACAAAAGTTTGTTTGTTGTTTAACGCCACACTTAGTACCCGGTAGTATTCCAGCTATATGGCAGTGGCCTATAATTACTTGAATCAGGACCAGATAATCCAGTGATCAACATCAAGACCATTGATTTTTCAAAAGCAAACAATGCTAAAAAATGTGAATAATGTTTGTATAAAACTGACAGGGTTTACTGTTTGTGTATTATCATTGGCCTATATGTATCGGCCATAGAATGAGTGAGTGAGTCTAGTTTTACAACGCTTTTAGCAATATTCCAGAAATATTATGGCGGGGGACACCAGAAATGCCTGGCCATAGAAACTGAAGCTTGTCCAATTAATACAAAAACAAAAACTGACCAATAGTTTAGGTACCATGAGGTGTTGTAAACAGTTTTCCCTTTTAAGGGCTCTGTTATGTGTGATGATAGATAGACTACAGAGTAAATATGTAGGTTTCGATCACTGATAAGACAAGAAAACTGATTACAGATGTTTTGGACTCCATGCCTGAATGTTCTGGCAACTCTAGCTCAACAAGCAGTTGCCAGGAATCTCTCGAAAAGAATCACCATGGCAACTGTTTCAATCTGAAGCAGGTATCATAAAAATCCCACACCATCAGTTCAAGGATTAATTGCAGATAATTCAAAATTAATTACTAGTAATTAAAAACTTTTAATTTTAACAGCAAATATCTCTTCTTGTCCAATGACTTCCAAGTTTCTTGTTCAGCTGTGGAATCTTATTCCCAGCAATTTATCCTGGACTTGTCAACGCCTGGACTGTGCTTGTTTTACTTCTCTGGTCTAAGAAGTTCAGTTGAGTCAGAGTGAAAGCAACAGTGCAACACATACTGATAGCAGAAAACACCTCTAGAAATTCTACCTCATGAGCATGTCATGTCATTGTGTTGACTCTGCTACTGTTGAAATATATACTGAGATAGTGAAAACTAGGGGTGGGTATTGCAGACAATTTTCATATTGCGATATATTGCGGTGCGAAAGCATATATTGCGATATGTATTGCAATATATTGCAAGATGTTGTTTAAAAAAAATAATACTTATAATCGAGTTAATGCTTGATCATTCCCACCACCATTACCACAATCATCAAGATTTCCGAGTGTTACGAAGTTTTCTGAATGCATGTCAAAATACCGCTTTTTGATCAGCTTATCGGAATATGAATCGTTTTCATGTGTGAACCGGTAAATACCAGTAAATCGTTATATTACGCAGCCCTAGTGAAAACCTTGTTTCTACCCACAGTTAACGTGTAGTTCATGACATGTGAGGTGCTTGGATCAATTGTCTATGTAGATTCACGATCGTAAGTACAACAATATCTAAATATCAGTCACAAATCCTCATGGAATGTTTGAGGTTTTTATATCTCAAGAAAATAGGATGGTAATCAGTCATATCTACAAGCATATGATTTATGAAGGTACACTTCTCGCCGGTCATGCAGAGTCAAGTAATGACTGTGTTATGTCATCGTTGCTTCTGGTAACAGCTGTCGATATTTGTCAGTTGTAATTAAGAGGAATTCTAAGATGCTTCGCTAAAAGATCAAAGGCACCGACAGTACTTTGTCAGGCAATAAAGTACACTTTTTGCATGACGTCACACTGTATTGACGTCACTTCGCCATTCTCGTCTGCCTCCTTGTTGTCAAACGTACCCTTGTTAACCGACGTCACGATGCATGTCAGCTATCATCACTTCAAAGAGTCTCCTACAATAAACTAGCTGCTGTTTGCTCTACCATGCGTCATGAAATATTCCTCACTGAGCCAGCTCATTCCTTTTTCAATGCAATCAAATGCACCTCATACAACTGTATGACATTTTCGATCAAGTACAAGGTGCAAAGCGGAATGGAATCATCAGAGCTTACATTTCTGTATCCTGATTTTGGCTTGGGTCCGTTTCTATATAACCTGAGTGTATGGGACAGGTTCATTATATCAGGGGGTAAGACTAGGTTGTCATCACAGTCACGCCTGGTTGATTTGTCTTACAATTGGGATGTCTGACTTTTGGGTCATCTAACTTTTGGGAGTAAACCGAGGTACTTATCTGTAGTAGTCGTTCCGACAATGACCCCTTCAGCCTCACTAATATACACATGTTATACATAAACTGTAATGATTGAAACAATATTATGAAATTTCAAGACCAAATTGGGGATGAATGACAAAACCTGTCATTTAACTTTTCATCTCACACTTGTTTAGATATACTTGGGGAGTAAGTGAGCGTGTGAGTTTTTAGTTTTAGCAATATTCCAGGAGCATCAGGATGGGTGACACCAGAAATGGGTTTCACACATGTGGGGAATCTAACCCTGGGTCTTCGGGGGAATCTAACCCTGGGTGATCGGTGTGACGATTGAGCTCTTGAACTGCTAGACTACCCCATCGCCCCAATACTTGTAGAAGAGACCGACATAAATTATATTTTTCATTGAAGGGTGGAACAGACTACCCTCACTGGCAGGATGCAAATAATTAGAAATACATGGAGTCGCTTGCATTTGCATCAGAACTGTCATTTACGCTGAAGGGGTCGTTTTCGGCACAGGTACTACAGATATGTACCCCAGGTACGTTTCTGTATACAGACATGTACCCTAAACAAAGACAAACTACAGAAACGTACCCGGTACCCTAAACGACGGACGAGTCCATATTCCGCAACCCAAAACCGAAACCGTATGTAATTGTTCCCGTTCAACTGATTGCGAGTGGTGTACGTTGTGCACCGTGAAATATTCTTTACTGTGTATGCTCTTATATAACGCAATCAAATGCATCTAATACACCAGTATGACAGTTCCGATCAAGAAAACTCCACAATGCAGAATGGAATCGTCCAAGGGTGCATTTCTGTATTCTGAGTTTGGCTAGGGTACAATTCTGTATACACAAACGTACCTGGGGTACATATCTGTAGAACCCGCGCCAGACAACGACCCCTTCTGCATCATTTACAGATCCTGAGGCTAAGGAAAGAGTGGATCAGTCTTGCATGTTACCTAATACAACTGACACTAAAGATGCATTCAATCAAAACGTAGCGTATTTTCCAACACTAAATACGGCTGAAGGGGTTGTTGTCAGCACAGGTACTACAGATGTGTACCCTAGCCAAAATCAGAATACAGAAACGTACCCTTAGACGATTCCATTTTACATTGTGGAGTTTTCTTGATCGGAACTGTCATGCTGTTGTATTAGATGCATTTGATTGCGTTGTATAAGAGCATACACAGTAACGAGTATTTCACGGTGCACAACGTACACCACTCCCAATCAGCTGAACGGGAATAACTACATACGGTTTTGGTTTTGGGTTGCGGAATATGGACTAGTCTGTCGTTTAGGGTACCAGGTACGTTTCTGTAGTTTGTCTTTGTTTAGGGTACATGTCTGTATACAGAAATGTACCTGGGGTACATATCTGTAGTACCTGTGCCGACAACGACCCCTTCAGCCTAAATACGTTTGTTTGGGTTTATCGGCTGGCAGACAAATTCGACCAAAGTTCACCATTTACCGTTGAGAGTATGGACTTCAAGTAACATTTGCCGAATGTGAATCTGACAGTACTATTCCCAGCGGCGCTTGTCCTCATAACCTTTGTAAACAGGTTCAACAGTTGTAAACAACTGCAAAATATTATTCTGCTGAAAGACAATAGTGGTTAGCATTTGCGCTATAACCTCTACCAGCGTATATTTTAATCAACACATTCTCATATGAAAAACGAATTCTTTGACATCTTCTAATATTGTTGTTGCACTGCAATCTTCTGATAACATGCATATGTTTTACACTCAGATTACTTACCAGTGGCCTCCTCAGATGCCGCAGCATTGTGATCGTGACTGGCAAAACTTTATTTAAAGTGGAGCTTGAGGGTCAAAGTACAGAGTATTTCCGAAGCAATGTGCAGGTTTGTTGTGGGTCCTGAAACGCATGCGTGCTTTTATCTATTTTTAGATGAACATCATAGCGCATGACCACACGGAAAAGGAAGTACCGGTAAACAACATGGCCGACTCAGTGACAGGTGCGTGTAAATACATAAACAAAATTTGAAATTTGCTATTGACATATAATTCTAAAGCAACTGAATAGCTTTCTCTTTCTCAGTTTACAGCTTTCTCTTTCATAACAGGGCCATACAGGTCAGAAATGGGCATGTTATTACTGCAGGCAGTCAAAAACAATCATGTGTCAGTGTGTTAATTTTGTCAAATTTACTGTTTTTATTCACACGACAATTAATTTATAATACAAGTTACTGAACAACGTGTTGATGTCAATATTCATTTTTCATCAATAAAAATAACATCCCCCAAAGCAACAATTTACTCGGTAGGCAGGTCTCACCTACTTAGGCCTAATCCTTATCTTCTCCTTTTATCAGGCAACATCAATGAGCTTAATGCCGATGGTAATCTACTGTGTTGCTAATACACGTTCAGCTAATTAACAGGAGAGCCGAGATACCGGATGCCGGTTTAAAAGCGTGAATTACGGTACAAACAGTCATTTGGCGGTCTTTTTTGTGACGAAATATGGAATAGACTGACTTCGGATTAGAGGGCATGTATATGATCATAAATGACGTAGCTTCTGCTGGGACAAAATTCTAGTGCCGGTATTGAGAGCATGCCGGATTGGAGGGCTGCCGGTTTAGAGGGCTTCCACTGTATTTATTACTAGCCGTAAATCAGTAAGATTGAGTATTCTTGAGGTACTAGTCTGTCATACAGACCCTGAAACAAATATACCCAATACAGCCTTTGCAAGTCTACAATATGTGACAAGTCAAGATAACCACAGTTTCTAGAAAGTCTTAGGGTTCGTTTTTATGATATTTTATGAACGTAATTTAGGAACATTTTTCCTGTAAATATGTTCATTTCAGAGACTAGATGTTAGTCTATTGAGGTACATGAAAGAAGTGATATTTCTGTCTTTTCAGAGGCATGTGAATTATCTGACTCATATAAAAGTAAATCCAGTGTTTTACCACTGAAAATGTCTGTGGTGATAATGCAGAAAAAATCAACATCAAGCACTGAAAATAATGGTTCACTCTGACGGAAATTGAAATTTGAAAAGATTGCAAATTATCCTACAGGGTTTGAATTACTTCTGACACTGGGCATAAATTACAAGATGCAATTTGATTTTGAATGTCAATGTGCACTATCTGGTTCCTTAGACTGAGCTCTGTGTAGTCGTTTGTATTTGTTGTCCAAACTACTGTTACATCGCATCTGGTAGACAATTCATCATTCTACAGCCAAACAAAGGATCACATCAGTATACAGATGCCATCTGGGGCGGTGGGGTAGCCTAGTGGTTAAAGCGTTACTCCTCACACCGAAGACCCGGGTTCTATTCGGGACACTATTTAATTGGTAAAATCATTCATTTTATGTTTTCTCTAAAGAGTGTTAAATTCTGACATAGAAGCCGAGACCTTTTATACAATTAATGGAAATTAGGTAAGATATATACTAATCAGCAAACCAATGTCGTCTTTTTCCGACGTCGCAAATGCATAAAACAAGCAATGACGTCAACTAAAATGTTGTATTATTATCAGTAATTTCATTACATTTGAAGATATGGCTAGTACTCCGTTAATAATGATGCAAAATTAGTCATAATACATCTACACAAACAGGAGAACATGGGAATCTAAGAACTAACTTACATATCGGATATGGTCATCCAAATCGCTATTACCTGCTTTCTCAAGTAGTACATTGCCATCTTTTCTTATAAATTGTGAAACTACCAAAACGTATCCGCTCACATTGTTGAACTTTGAATTGGAATAGTTTGGTTTACCGTGAACACAGCATAATGAAAATATAGCGTCCGTATCCACAACTTTTCTCAAAGTGATCTGAGTTACATTGACCTAGTGTTAAGCATAGCGGAGTTATGCCCTGTTATCTTTATACGTGTATGACCTCTCTGTCGTCGGTTGACGTCATAGAAGAAAATCCATTTTTGGCACTTATCGCAAGTCATTTTTAATGTTGAGCGTGTAACGTTAAGCATTAGCACATACCGGTAAACCCATTTTATATACACTTGTGTCGTTCAGATATCAGGCTGTATTTTCTTCGCTCACACTGTCTGTAAAGATGCCAAATTAAAAAATTCGTAGCAGAGTGCTTTTATCGGTGCACGACAAAAAGCGAGAAATTGATAGTTTAAAGTGATAGTCGCACTTATATTTATACCAACAGATAGGAAATTAAATATTCTACATTTCTGTGTAATTTTATAGCCGTACGCAGATCCAGGACCACAAGAGCGCAATTCTCGCACTACGTTCACTTTTCAAACCTTTTGAAAATGTGCGGCTGAAAAACAACCCTCGGCATCCAGTGCCGCCATTACAGGGCTACGCCTGGCTTACGCCTGCTGGGTAGGTGGCGTAAATATAGAGCGCCGCGACTGGCGTAACTTTAACTACGTCTAATATGTGCATACCGGTTTACGTTACGTCCAGACGCACATTTTACTTACGCCCGGACTAGAATTTACGCCCGACATATGCATACGGCCACAGGGTATATGTTCCGATAAATCTCCACTATACCCTGGATGTATCTAAGGCTCGGCCAGATGATTTTATTACCTCCCTCACAGTAGCCAATCAGCTTAACAGGCATTACAACCGAGCTAGCCAGTGTCAAAAAAGATAGCGGTCGCAGCCGCAAAGGTTTGTTTTCGCAGTGCGACTCGGATTTGGGGGGAAATCTCACAGACAAGTTGACAGGTCTGAAACCTTAAAAAATATATGCAAGAACTCTTTCAGAGTACCTCTGCAGCAATTATGTTGCAAAGTTTAATCGGTTAGATAAAAGATGCGAAAGTGAGTTGTGACTGGTATGCTCAACTTTCCAGCGTAGACACCAGAGGCGTGTTCAGAACCGCGAGCGCCCGCGCAATTGCCGCCCGCGAACGCTCACATCGGCCCTGAACGGACGCGAGCGCTTGGTTACAATAAACCATTTCGTGACGAACTCATGTTGTTCCGGGACAAGCCGAATAGCTACTATATTATATTCTTAAGGGTGAAATACTGTAAATATTGGTGAAAATATAAATGGTATTGTCATTTTCACTGAGTAGAATATCAGTTTTGCCTGGAACTACGAAACGCGAACTACGAAATCGATGTCTCGATCATTTCTAAACAATGATCAAAATATAATAAATAGAATATTTTGTTAATGTTGTCAATGGTTACGCAACTCAACTTTTTCAGACCACTCGATGACATATACATGTTATTTGACATCATTAACAAAATATCCTCCATGTCTTCTTTTTGGAGGTTACGGAAAGGGGCGAGTGGTGACGAATGACATTGAACATGATCGCCATCTTGGTTTGCTTAGCAAGGCAGCTGTGAGAATGGTTCGCGCGCGCGCGCTCGGGAACTAAAGCAGGCACAGGCGTTCAGGATCACTGTTCTGAACACGCCTCTGACTGGATAAAAAGCCTGCCAAGGGAGGTAATAACCATGTGGCCAAGCTGTAGATGCATCCATGATTATCGAGGATGGTTGTTGCTTTGAGTTTCTGTCAATCTTGGCATTTTTCAATTTTCACTTGCTGTACTTGCTATCATTTTTACAGCCCAACAATTCATACTGCAGCTTCATATCTTGTTGATATATTTGACCACCATGCTCCAAGATTGCGTTTTTACATTTTCTCCACTTTTCGGTATTTTGGGGCTGTACATTTTTCTACTTGCACAAATCACTATCAGTTTATGCAGACATGAGAAATTCATGTTTCACATTCGTTTTATATGAATATCAGAAAACATCAGCTATTTCTAATTTTTAAACTTTTCCATTTCTCTTTTGCACAGTAGGTGCATCTCATCAGATATTTCATTACATACAGACCGCCTCCGTAGTGTAGTGGTTAGAGCGTCCGCGCGGAGAGCGGAAGGTTGCTGGTTCGATCATACCAAAAGACGTTAAAATATGGTACTTGTTGGTCCCTGCCTGGCGCTCGGCATTAATGGGTACAACAAGGACTAGTCGGCTCGGAGTCAGTATAATGTGTCTGAGTGGGGTATTCATGCTTCAATGCGGCATGGTATCTCAGTGGGCTAGCACTATAAAACCAGCTTCAGTCTGGGCTAGTACAAGCAGCCACACATACACATACACACGCATGCACGTCATCATATGAGCGAAATATTCTCAAGCTCGACGTTAAACCCAATTTCACCTCACCTCACTACATACAATGCCATCCTCCATCTACCGGTATTATGCATAGACAGTGTCAACAGCTGTAGTGGCAGTTGTCAGTTGACGATGTCTGGATGTAATGGTGGAGTACACAACACTGCGGAGAAGCATTATCAAATCATTCACTTGTAGAGATGAGCATCTAGCTGTAGAAATAATGGTTGCTCCCCCAGCTTCCTGACTGAAGGCATGAGATGGCAATGTCACAGGGCAATCGGAGTGGTACATTAGAGAGTGTTTTTCAAAGATGGATGTCCATAATATATTCATGCTGTAAAAAGGAGTTATGAAAATGCTTTGTTGATATCCTGAAACCTCAACTACTATTAAATGAACATTGCAAAGGGCAGAAAGTTCTCTCTTTGAAAGACTTGGTCATGTTGATACGTATTATGGTTAACACATGGTTAAATACATATTTATTCATAGCGTGATAGATGGTTGAGACGACATAAACATTTTTGTGTCTTCCCGTGATACACTTGTGCAACCCCCACCCATCTTTGATTATCAGGTGTGTTTTCATCACTTCTATTACGAACCCTGGACCCGTTTGCCTCCGTAGCCTTGCTTCAGATCTCCATATCTCTTGCCTTTCCAATCTCTGGTCGGCTAATCTGGTTTGGTGCACTGGGCAATTGTCCCTGTCCTTTGGTCAGGCCTACCAAAGAAAACTTTCCCACTGTGCAGAAAAACGCAAGAAAAGCCCACATTAATCGTGGAAATAGCAACAGAAACATAATACCTCGCTACTGAAACAG